GTTTAGGATGCTGGCTTTGGTAGAGAGAACTTTACGATGGATGAATACTCCAGTGAATAATGTTTGGCTAAAATAAAACTGTGCCCCTAACTTAAACATACTGTTTGTGACTCGAGATAGTAGATGTTGTGTTTTCAATAGAACTTGCTGATTTTACTGCTTAATACTAGGGCTGTGTCTTTGCAAGAATCTGGCGGTATAGTGCAATGTGTTGCATTATATTAAATTAGAATTTTAGGAAAACTGTCACAGTATTAAGAGCACACCACTAAAATCTAGTCCTGTGTTAAAGTTTAAAACACTGCTATGTGGCTGGCGGCTGTGGCTCAGAGGCAGAGCAGGTTGTTCCTTAATCGGAAGGTTGTGTGTTCGATTTTATTATCATATTTATTTTGTATTTTCAGTTTTATAGTATAAGAGATGCTTTTCAGTTTTATAGACTATTGTGATCTACTGTCTTTTGGAAAAGTGTTTGTTCAGTGCTATTGCAGTGTAATACAGACATTTTTGAAATGTTCCTTCTTTTTAATGTATGTTTTTATTTTTATAATAGAATGCCCAAGTTTCCAGTGGGAAAAATGCTACTTTAGTCCCCAGCAAAAGGATTTTGTCTGTCTGTGACTAACTGAACCAAAGTCATGTTTCCTAGAAAAGAAAGAGAAGAAGAAAGAGCTACTGTTCAAAACACAAATCATAAAGCAATCGGAAATACAAAAAAGAACTGACCTACCTAGCAAACATCAAATATATGAGCACCATATATGAGGTGGATAAATAATATTTGGTAATTGAAAACTAAACTGAGCAAACAGAATGCCTGTGAATGTGAATGTGAATAGCTCATTAAAAACCAGCCTGTCTCTCTCAGGCTTATTCAAAACTGGTATGGTGACTTTCTATTGTGTGTGGAACCAGAAACTAAACTGTGATATGCACCTGAAAGATAGAGATTTTAAATCAGCCCTGAAATGCACGTTGAACACAGAACAAGGGCCCTTCCTGGTGAGAGCAGGTCTCCCATAAGGAAGATGGACACATGGTGCAGTGAAAAGCAAGAGCAATTGGCTCACAATGGTTCAAATGAGGGAATATTCAAATGTAATGAAAAGCATTAGCATACATGAGACAAGCGCCTGTTTTCATAAGGGAAGCTTTTTTCTCGCAATCTTCAGGGAAAAAAGGAGAGAGGGAGAAAGATGGCGATTGACCTTTTCCAGATGGTACAGCCTTTAATCCTTACTACAGAGTCCTGCTGGGGACATGCAGGCTGGAGAAGTCTGATAAATCTGGCTCAAATGCCACCGTGAATCTGCATTTTCATGCGTATATTAACAAAAAAGGGATACAAGTGCTTTGAAGTGGGTCCACTTGAAGCGGACTGTGCTGATGCCTATATTGGTTGAGTGTTGGGGTGGTATGGTTCACATATTCATTACTTATTGGATTGCTGCCTGCACCTTAAACTGACCAGTTCTTTATTTGCGTTTGCATAAATGTAAGGTGTGCATGTGCGACAACTGTATTTTTGTTGTGTAGCACTTTCACAGCACTGAGATTGGGTCACAGTTTGCAGGAGATTTTATTTGGATTGAATTTTTAAACATTATTTTTAGATCTAGATCTGTCAAACACCTTTGAGTCACATGAGAGAGCTTGCCAGTATTTCTACCACACTCACGGTTTCCGACATACTAATAATAATAATAATAATAATAATAATAATAATAATAATACAGATTCCAGGGTTCCCAAATAAGAAATCCTTTTCCAGGACCTTTGCAGGACATTTTTCAAGAGATTTCTTGACAGTACAGGTAGCTCCTCCTACCAACAGTGGACTTTCAAACAAAATATGCACCCAAGTGTACGTACGCAATCTGAATGAGGGGTTGAAATACAATTGAAAAGTTCCAGGACAACATAGATTATTTGCAGGTATTTCAATGATTAGAAAACTAGTCTAATTTTTCAGGTATTCCACGTTTTTCCAGGACAAATGGGAACCCTGAGATTCTGAAGCCAGCCACAATATATGGATGCTTTACTAGAAAGGCCATGCTAGAGTCCAGACTATTCTAACATTAGCCAAACAGACCGAGAGGGAAACGGTAAAGTGACTCCAAGTTGGCAATAAAAACAAAGCCCCAGCTAAAACCAGACTACAGTGAACGTTAACCAAACTACCGGTCACGTTCAACCCCCTGATGATGGCACAGATGGAAGGGTTGAGGGATCAAGTGAGATCCTCCTACTGAGAAGACAGAATCAGGGGCAAGGCAATATGGTTATGTTAATTGTTCCAATCCAAACCAGGAAGCACGGCCGATGTGTGTTATATGCAGCAAAACTCAAGCAATTGAGAGTTTAAAGCCGACAAAACTAAGACATTTGGAAAACCTTCATCTCGAGTTGGCATATTAACCACTGGATTTCTTTCAAGGGAAGGCAAAGAAGATTAAATGATGGCTTTCATAAAAATGAGAAACAGCCCCACACTATTGCAGAAAAATGTATCCTGTCTGCCACAATAGATATGATAAGCACAGTTATTTTCGAAAAGCTGAAAAAAAATAATGAAAACTGACCACACGTGTCTTAGTAAACTTGATTTGAGGAGTATTACATTCTATAATGAATTACATTTTTAATAAATAAACTGAAATTTTTATTTTTGTAAATTTTTATTGCAAACTAAATATTAACCTTGAACTACTGTACTATAAAATAGAAACACACATAACTAAGAAAGCATTATGTGAAAAGTGTCCTCAGATAACTTCTCTTAAAATTTTATATAAATAAAATTTAATGAAAACATAGGTCGCCTATTTAACAAATGTACAATGAGCTGCCATTTTGTAATGAGAGAAGAAAAGAAAAGAAGAAAAATGATTTTTTTCCCCTCCCCTCCTTGACAAGAAGCCCTGATATTTGACTGCCCTCTGCTGGGTGGAGCTTCAACTCCTCCAAAGTCATTAAACATTATGTGAAAGAACAGTGCAGGACAATTACTGCTCAACAGAACACAAATAATCTTTGAGCCATCGCAAATGTCATTCAGAGGTGTGTGGTGAGGATAGCTGCATCAGGCCTTGCTGGAGCCAGAGCCAGTAATTAGGGCTGACATTTCACTCTAAAACGGTCATTAGTCACCTCCAAACAGGCCTGATGTGATAACTGTAATATCTCTAAATTGCAGCAATTAGAAAAGGTTTGCCGGAGGGGCTTGAAAATTTCTTTGCCACTCAAAATGTCAACAATGGGACAATTTCATCAGTGGAAGGAAGATGAAAATAAGCTTGTATTAATGTGTCAATAAGACAAGGTGTCCAATTGCATTTACAGAGAAAGTGTTGTTGTTATACTTCTGGTATACTGGTAGCACTCAGCAACAGGTGAATATTTCTAAATGAATATTGTGAAATGGCAGTTGCTCATGGTGGTACTGTTGGGTCTCTGTAAATGTTATAAGGAGTTCGGTCTAGACCTGCTCTATCTGAAAAGTGTCCTGAGATAACTTCTGTTATGAATTGGCGCTATATAAATAAAATAGAATTTAAATTGAATTGAGTTGAGTTGTTGTATTATATTTGCTACCAACACATATCTTACTGTTACAGCTCTTTGAGTAGAAGATTAACATTACACAGCATTTGCCATCTCTCAGTTGCTCTACAGAGATCTGAATGAAATACACAAAGTGAGTATTGGGACATGAACCAGTCTCATTTTGTTGATACTCAATCAGTGTTCCGTTATTGGGTGGAAGATGGTGATGCTGCTATGCTGTAGTCAGTTTGGGTCATTGGTGTGGGATTCCTGTCTTACTTTTACATTGTTCACTACGATTCATTTTTAAGTCACGAGGATTCATCCCATTGACATATATAAAGATGGGCGACATGACAGCTCAACAAAAGTGAAGCCAAAACATCTTGATCGCCCCCTGGTGACTGACTGCAGTATAGGTCATAAAGCTCCCTCTTAGCAGATGGGGCACGGGCCAAAAAAAAAAAAAAAAAAAAAAACCCTAATTTTAGGTAGTTCTTATCATGCTTTTGTATGTTTAAGTGTTCATTTTAGTTTAGTTTTAATTAGTTTGCAGCTATAAAAAGGGGGTTTAGTCATGATTGACACCTGAGTCCTGCTCACGATTGAGTCAGCCAGATGTATGGGCAGGACTTGGATACTGTGGCACCAATCATTACTGCACAGACTCTGGCACTATTTAGCAAAAGATGGCAGCGGCCGTATCCAAGATATTTTGGTTTCATTTTTGTACAGGTATGAAGTGGAGACGCAACGTCCATCTTTTATGTGTATTTGGTCTCGACACCATCTGCATTACATTCATGGTTTTAACTGTATTTAACACACATAGACATGCATGGCATTTTTGACGGTGAGTTTTTGGGTCATTTTTAACTATTAACCTTTGTAATTAAATGTATACATAGATTTGGGGAAAAAAACAATTCTAAAACTTGTTTCCTGGACCTTTAAAAGGTCCATTGTAAAGGATTTAGTGGCATCTACTGGTGTAGTTGCAGACTGCCACTCCCTTGCTTCACCTTCCCCTTCCAAGCATGAAGGGGAAACTACAGTGGCCGTGAAATTCACAAAAAATGCAAAAGGCCCTATCTAGAGTCAGTTTTTGGTTTGTCCGTTTTGGACTACTGTAGAAACATGGTGGTTTAACATTGCAAATTCCATAGAAGAGGACCTGCTCACTCTGTTGATAAAAACGGCTCAGTCTAAAAAGGTATGAAAACCTCATTTCCTATGCGTATTATGTTCCATTTCTGACAATAAATCCTCCTAAATGTTCAATTCAATTAAATTCAATTTTATTTGTATAGCGCCAATTCATAAAAGAAGTTATCTCAGGACACCGTGTTACACACTAAGCCTTTAAACATGGTTCCTAAACTAGAGGAATAGGAAGGAAAACAAGGATGAAAGAAAAGTAAAGTCAGATGCTGAAAGGGAGAAGAACTTACCCGTTTGATGGAGCTGCGAGTCTTCTCCTTCCACTGGTGGCTGCTCAGCTCCAGGGTGCAGTGAACATAGGTTTCTCTGTCATAAGAGCCCAGTATGAACAGTCTGCGGAGACATGAAACGAGACATACAGTAAGAGAACTACAGCAACTGTAAATACACCAATCAGCCAAGATATTATGACCACTGTCAGTGGGTGGGATATATTAGGCAGCAAGTGAACATTTTGTCCTCAAAGTTGATGTGTTAGAAGCAGAGGCCAAATTGTGATGGCTAGACGACTGGGACAAAGCATCTCCAAACCTGCAGCTCTTGTGGGGTGTTCCCGGTCTGCAGAGGTCAGTACCTATCAAAAGTGCTCCAAGGAAGGAAAAGTGGTAAACCGGAGACAGGATCATGGGGGGCCAAGGGTAATTGATGCACGTGGGAAGTGAAGGCTGGCCCTTGTGGTCCGATCCAACAGACGAGCTCCTGTAGCTCAAACTCTTAAATTAATGCTGGTTCTGATTGAAAGGTGTCAGAACACACAGTGCACCACCAGGCTGCCCAAGTGGTCAGAATGTTATGGCTGATCGGTGTAGTGTTTCATTTAAAAATAAGGAATGTTTAATACAACAGCCCCAGGAGCTTGACATATCTAAAATAAAAAATATTGATTTAGTAAAATAAAGGGACACTTTAATACAGTCAAAAACGTTTTACTGCTCTGATAATGAGGAAAATCCAGGACAAAAGGAGAGTAGTCCTTAGCTGCGATCCATATTTTTTTTTTTTCATAAAGAAATATGAAAATAAACCCAATAATGCAGTAGTAAATACTGCAGTAGTAAAGAGCATGTTGACTGTTTTCTAGAGTTGTTCTGATTCCGATACCAGTATCGGGAATGCCTCCGATACTGCCGAAAATGCTGGCATCGGTATCGGCGAGTACTGAAGTCCAGGCACCGATCCGATACCACGTAATTTATTAGAAATAGGAATCTATCTACTGGGTAGCTCCGCTAGCTCCGTAAGCTCTGCAACAGTTCTTCTTCGCCGCTCTTAAAACAGTTGCGCTGTACTGCCAATCGGCAACTGCTGTTGCGGTTTTCGCTGAAGCTCACACACACTGAGCAGCAACGTTGGGCACAAACACACCCCCTCCTCTCTTTGTCTGAGGCTCTCTGTCACAGCACTGCAGGCAGACACACACCAAGGTGCGCCCCCGCCCCCTTCCTCCCTCCTCCCTCACCTGTCGTTCTACATGCTTGAAAAATGGAGCGAGATCGACAGCCCAAGAGGAAAGGTGGAGCAGAGAGGGAGAGGCTAAAAGCTAGAAGCACTGACCACAGATCAGCGAAGTGCTGTAAAATAACTGACATGTTTGTCAGTGAGGGAGCAGGTCAGACATTAAACAGTAGTGGCGGCAACACGGGTGGTGGTGGCCTGGGATGATATCAAAATTCCCGTCCTGAATTATTGTCCCAGTCCGCCCCTGTATCACAGTCATGCAGGCCTAGTATGATTTTTTTCCTCTTTTTTTTTTAACACACTGGTATCGGTATCAGAAGATTAGAATACATTACATTCCTCTTTATCTCTAAACCTCAGACATATCCAGTAATCACCTCAACAACATAGATTACTTATAAAGACTTCCATACACCAGTAAATCTAATTTCATCATTGGAAAAGCACTGCTGAAGTTGTAATCAGGGACTAGAAATTGTTGCTGTTTTTTTTGTTTTTTTTGTTTATCAACTAATTAATTAATCATCTCAGTGTCTACTTCAGTTACAGGAGCATGGTGCCACCTGCTCCAGGACTATGGCCACACCACATGTACAGTAACAGTACATTTTCTTGGTATATTAGCTGCACCTCACGCATCCTCACCAGTATGGTGGCCTATATCTTAACTTAAAGGGGCACTTCAAGTATCTCATACATAATTAGAAGTGTACTCAGAGAGCAACATCCTCCGCCAAGGTGGTTTAGAATTAATTGCATAGTTTTCTTACCACTACCATTCACCCACTCACACACATTCATGCACAGGCTCATCAGTACTAAGTATCTTGCCCACAAATGACACCTGGTTTGTATCTTGCCCAAGTACACTTTGACATGGGGACTATAAGGAGCCTGGGATCGAACCGCCAATCTTCTACTGATTTTGTTTCTATAGTGATGTTGATTCTGGCCGTTTGACCAAGCAAACAGTTAACTTCATAATTTCAGCTCCACTGGCCAATGAAGACTTTCACTTTCCCTCATATCCTGTCCACTCCCAGTGGTCCCTCATTCATTCACTGCTGTTTTAATACTGGAATTGCAACTTATAAAGCTGGACACAATACCTGTGTACCTGAAGACTGTGTAGCGAGAAAAAAAAAGATGAGCTCACAGTAGCATATTTTTTGGCTACTGCTGCCCCCTGCTGTGCCGAGGAGATTAAAGCATCAGGCACTGATGAATAGTTATTCCCTCACTTCAGAAATACAATGTTCGTCTTCAGAAGCTGCAATATTTCAGGCATAGCATGACTGGTTTGATTATTTAAAGAGACACTATGATGGCCTTCCTCAATAAGAATCAACGGTTTCCTTTGTAAGATCTCACCTCACATGGTAAATTGGGTAGATACTTCCCTCTACTGGACATTTACAGCACACTACACCTGAAACCTCTAACAATCATTATACAGCAAATGTATGAAATCATCTAATTAAACACTCAACACAATATTGGAAGTCCAGTCTCCAAACTTATAGTTCCTATATAGAAGAAGGTGATGTAAGATGGTGGGGAAAGAAGGGCGACTATGATTATAATGGGCATGACATGAATTATTAATGGCTGAACCTGATCTGATCATCCTGTGGTCTATCAAACACACCAAACCACATCCAAGCACGGCTCAACATACACACACATATATCAAAGCACACATAACTCATCTATCTCTCCAAGGCAATAAATGGTAAATGGTAAATGGACCTGTTCTTGTATAGCGCCTTTCTAGTCTTCCGACCACTCAAAGTGCTTTTACACTACATGCCACATTCACCCTTTCACACACATTCACTCAGTGATGGCAAAGCCCATCGGACAGATTCATAAACATTCATGCACAGCATCAGGAGCAATTCGACACATGTTGGGAGGAGCCGGGGATCGAACCAACAACCTTCCAATAAGTGGACGACCAGCTCTGCCTCTGAGCCCCTGGAAACAGGCTTGTCATTCCTAGCTGATGATTTGTCTGCTAAAATGATGACTGTTTTAGATGGTCATCACATGGTCATTCTGGAGACTCTTATTTTAGTTTGTGGTGCTGTTGATATGTATAGAATTAAAACTAAAAGGTGATTCTAAAATTAAGTCTACCATCATTGATGGTATATCAAATATCATTAACACCCTGTTGGGATGAACTGAAGAGGGGGAGCCAACAAAGAGAACTTGTTGGAAAAGCTTGTCTGGGAAAAACGTTGAAGGTGGCACAACTTTTGGTGCAACTCAATGTGACATCCTGCAAGACACTGCAATCACGTACGTGCAAGAGCACATTAGATTACATAGGGTAAAATGATTGTTCCTGTGATCCTTTGTTATTGTATTGTGATGGGGGTCTAAAATGTTACTGTAGTATGAGGTATTAACAAAAAGGGGCTGGGCCCAAACCCGGAGTCACAGCCCAAGACCAAAAACACACAGGTACGTGGACAGGGGCATCCAGATACAAGTGTCTCGAGAAGTGTCTCACCTGCTACATTCAATAAGGGTGACTTTAAGTCGGCCTTCCACCAGCCTGCTGTCCTGGACTGACAGGTCCAAATCACAAGCCGAACCCAGAGGAGGCTGCACTTGGAATGGGAAGAAGGGCTTGTATCTGGAGAGAGACACAGGAAACATCAAAAGTCAGTGCACTGATTTAAACTCTAAAAATTAGGGATGCACAATATGTATTTTTTTTCAGCCAATACCATAACCAATAATTGAACATAACTTTAAACGTTTATAATTACCTGGTTTCTAATGGCTGATACCAATAAGACAACCAATAATTTAGCATTTTTGTATTTTAAAAAGAAGATGTTAACCTGTGGCTTTTACACACTTGATGGTAAGAACAACAGTTCTGACCCTGATAAACTGACAATATATCGGCTATAATTTATTATCCCCATCATTTATAATAATATAAGTTAGTGCTGTCAGTTAAACGCGTTATTAACGGCGTTAAAGCAACCCCATTTTAACGGCGTACATTTTTTTATCGCGAGATTAACGTTCTTTTTGGCCTAGCACACTTTGTAGTTTTCTTCACATGCTGTTGCAACAACTAGTAACGTTAGAAAAACTACAACACCACACCAGATCTAACTAGACCGAGAAAAAAACAACAGGCACACTGTACACACTTGTTTAAGAGTAGTACACGTTACGTTTTGAGTGGATGGCGAGCGCGAGACGCCGAAATGGATGCCAATAATATTCTGAATGGAAAGTTTACTTAAATTTAAAAAGTTGCCAAATGGTTCCATTGACAAGACCAAAGTGATCTGTGTGTTTTGTCGTTGTGAACTGAGCTATTATCGCAGCACGTCCAGTCTGAAATACCACTTGATGGCCGAGCACACAGCTGATGCGAATTCTCCGCCCCCTCGTCAAAGCCAGGCGACAATGGATGATTTTTCAATAAAAACATTTGCACAAAGCAAGCCGATCCACTTTTCCATGTTGATAAGAGCATTAAAATGAGAAAAAAGAATGGGACAAAAAGAAATCAAGGGACATTTAGAATAGATAAAAATGTGCGATTAATTGCGAGTTAACTATGACATTAATGCGATTAAATATTTTAAATCGCTTGACAGCACTAATATAAATACACCATTATCAGCCGATGATAATTGTGCATCCCTACTGATCTCTTAATCTCTTAAAAACAATCAGCTAATGCAACTGTACCCACAAAGAGGACCCTCACAACTAGAGGGAGATCTTTCGTTCCTCT